CCACGGCTGAAGTTGCGGGTGATGGCGGCGGTTTCCTCTTCCGTGAGAGTGCGCGCTCGTTTTGCGGGCCGAAAGGTCGATGAAGACGCGCCGGTGAAGGTGCCATTGTAATCGTAATATTGCTGGTGGTTCATGGTCATACCACTGCCTTGTTGCGATGCAGCGGCATAAACGGGTGGCGGGGCGGCGTGTGCAAATGGCGCTGGGGCTGGCGCAGAACTTGAAGGCGGCGCATCTGCTTGGACTGGCAAAATATAATTTTAAATTTGATCGGCGTAATAGCCAGACCTGCCTGGTGCCGCGGCGCGGTCATGGTGTTGGGGTTCCGTGTCGGGATCAGGGTACGCGCATGAGTTGCCGAGACCGCGTTTGACACAGTTCTAGACCAGAATTATTGAAAGACGCAAAAGAATCGCTAGATTTGCCTGGCAGGGAAGAGTCTCGCTGCATCGTGTTTTTCCAGTGTGACAAGCAGTGCAAGCGCGACGGACTGAAGGAGCTTTCGCTGCAATTTTATTGAATCTGCAGCGGACGAAATTGGCAGATTTGCACGCACGCTTGCGAGTAGGAGTATCACCGGCAGGCTGGGGATGGGGAGATTGCTGAACTTGGTGAATTTGTTGGTGAGGATGCTGGGGATGCTGGGGGTGTTGCTGGGGGTGCTGTGGGTGCTGAGGATGCTGCTGAAGTTGATTATCGGCAATTATCTGCTCCTCGGGGTGGGCCGACGACATAACGGCCGGAGACGGACGGAGGCAAGAGGTACTCGTGGGGGTGTGACTTCGGCCCGTACGACATGTCACACATCACATTCTCTCTATCAATGATCACCGGCTCAATATCGCGATTGCCCCGCGATTGCCGAATTGGTTACGCTGCAAGAGTTTTATAACCCTCCTGATGCAACAGATACTGCTCAGACCTTGTGCCCATGTCTCCCCGTCCAGCCTTCCCCGAGTTTGACTTCAATTTCGATCCCTCTGCCTTTCCCAACCCCCCACCCCTCCCCGCCTCTGCAGATCTCTTTTCTGCCGCAGAAACAACAGATCTGCTCGGATTCCTCGATAATTTCAATAATTTTGGTTGGGAGAATGAGCAGCAGTCATCGTACCCCTCTCCTCGAGCACCATACTCGAACCCCCATTTGAACACCGCACCCGAACCATCTACCTCGGGACGGCCCCGACGCAGCACCCGGTCAGCTACCCGGGCACCCCCACAGCAGCTGCAACAGCAACACCACCACCAGCAGCAAAAACCAAAACAGCCGCGGCACCAGCAGGAGCTGCCACGCAGACGCGAGATATCGCCGAGACGCGACAGCCAGACGCCAAGCAACGCGTCGGAATCGTCCTCACACGCGAACGATCACTCGACCTCCAGCTCCGGCACGTCTTCCGTGGCCCCGGTGTCTCTCCCCACAACTTTACCGCGTGGCTCGAAGCCCCTGCTCTCAACACCCCAGAAGCGTCTAAACCACATCATGTCCGAGCAGAAACGCCGTAATGCCATTCGGGACGGATACGCACAGCTGATTGGGCTTCTGGCACCGGCCGGATCTGCGCCGGGTCTTGGGATGCCTCAGCGCGGGAGGCCAAAGGGGAGCGGTAGTAGAGGCAAGGGCCAGAGTAAGGGGAAGAGCGGCGTATTATTCCGTGCAGTGGAGTACATTCGCTGGCTTGAGGAGAACCGCGATGCGCTGCGGAAGGAGGTTTTGCGTGTGGAGGCCGCTGCGGGTATTCGCGACGGTTCGGGCCGTCGGTAGCTAGACCTGTGAGCTTTTCTTCTGTGTTGTACTATTCTCTCGAGCTGACTTGATTTCAGGCAGAGGAAAAAATTATCATTATTAGTATATGTAAACACCTTAATTGGCGCTAAATGGATTTTGTAACTGGCCTCAGGCTGTGCTCCGTTGAGTTTCCACAAGGTTTTTGGTTATCTTGGAGACGGATATAACTCCGACACGCGCGACACACGTCGAGACTCGAGTGCGACGTACGGCACTCATGCGACACAAATTCAGACCCGTCGTGGACGTTGTGAATAGTCGTTGAGCGGAATCTCAGGCTGGAGAAGTGCTCCTTTGCAGAAGAGAGCATACACATAAAGCCTTTCTGCGGGAGCCAGGTCGGACGCAGGTACACTTTCATTCCGCTTCCGTCAGCTTGGAACTTCCGTATGACCATTATTGATATACGCGTCGGAACTCGAGACTAAGGAAATAAGCTAATTGCAGCCTTCAAAACTCTGAATCCGCGAAGTCTAACCGAGTTTTTTTACCAGAAAATAGGGGCTTCCTCGAAGATAAGATAAGATCCAAGACCGAATAGGAAATCATGCCTCCAACCCCGCCACCACAACCAGAGTGGCCCTTGCCCAAGTTCAATCTCCGCATCGAGGACATCGCGCACCCTGGTGCCACCATCTTTCTGGACAACTCCAAAGTCCTCGATGATCTGCGCACCGCTGTCCTTGCCAGCTTTCAATGGCTGTACGCCACGCCAGCGAATGCACCAACCAAGTGCGTCCTCGCATCCATTCGAATATGCCCAAGTATTGTTAACGCAGCGTAGCGTAAAGTTGATTCTACTGGTTTTGCGCCCGATGGACGGCGTTGCATACACCTTTGGTTCTTCCTCAGAAAAGGAGATCCATTTCTCGCTCGACCACATCGCGAACAGTGCTTCCCGCGCGCGCGATGAGATAATGGGCGTTCTAGTGCATGAAGTTTGTATTTTTCACGCATGCTTTCTGCCCATGATGAACGTCGGCAGGTCGTGCATTGCTACCAATACAATGCGAATGGCACCGCGCCCGGTGGACTCATCGAGGGCGTCGCAGGTTTGTATCTCTCATCCACCAAACCTTTGAACAAACACTCACATTACCTACTCAGACTTTGTGCGGCTTCACGCGGGTCTGGCGCCGCCCCACTGGAAACGCGTCCCGAACCCGAAAGACAAGTGGGACGCAGGCTACCAGACGACGGCGTACTTCCTCGACTGGATCAAGGAGCGCCGCGGCAAGGGGGCAATCCGCGCGCTCAACAACACGATGCGAGACAAGGACTATGATGAGGGGGTGTTTGTGGTCCTTGCGGGTGAGCCAGTGCGCGATCTTTGGCGGCGCTACAAGGCGGAACTTGGTGTTGAGGATGGGGAAGGCGAGGAGAAGACTGAGGCCGGGGAGGACTTCGTTTTGGTGTAAGTGCAATAACATGTACTATTCATTAGAATGGACCTATCATTTATTTCGTTTATCTAGACGGAGCTACAACCCAGTTTACATATGAGCAGAGTGGCCGCAGTAGTTTTCTGTGAGTTTTTCGAATCATATTTTTTGTATTTTAGAGGTGGAATGGAACGGACTGCGTTGTATCTTGAATCGCCTCTCGCCACTGTGGTTTCCCAGAGCGCCGTTTTTTGCCAGAACGTGCCCCTCCTAACTTGGCCCCCTTCTTTGAAGCTCACAGGACGCTCTTGCGAACTCCTTTGGCCTGTTTACAGCTACTTTCCCGAATGCTTGACCCTCGACTCGACCCTTTGAACATCGGCAGCTGTTCACGAAAAAGCCTTCCCCAGACCCCGCAACGATATCCCTATTCCTGAGTCAGTGTTGTTTATCCCAGTCCTGGCCGAAAAGAATCCTGGAGATAATGGATTCATATTACGACGTCTCCTACTGAGAAATGCGTGTCGCCATTCTTGGATTGCAGAACACAGCCATCGCACCCGGAACACTCTTAAGTATACATTGCTGTTTCCATTCCGAGCTAATTACAGTAATCCTCTACTTGTCGCCGGCGAGAATCAAGCCTGAAGCCTGCCATTCAAGTACGTGCACCCCTCGCATTGTTCCTCGCACATCCAAAACATCCATTATCGTCTTTCGCAACTTGAACCCTTGTTTCTCAAATACGCGAACACTTCCGTTGTTGCCATCCATTATTGTCTCGACCATGCACCGCACACCCATCCGTGGGATGCCCCACAGGTGCAAAAGTGTATTCACGGCGTCCGACATGATGCCTTGGCCGTGGTGGCTCGGAGCCAAATAATCTAGCGCACGAGTCAAGTCGATTGCCCGGTGCCTTCTCAGCACTTACCGCGTAAAGTCCAGATATCTGGGTCGTGCGGATCTCTGCGCGGTGTCTCCTGTTTAAGCCTCCCAGTGCCCTCGAGCTCCCAAGGCTCATCCGCCAAGTCGAAAGTAATGTCCCCCAAGAAGATGTCCGTGCCGTCTTCTTTGACCTCCCGAATAGTTCTCACAGGACATCCGTCGACGATCTTGAGCGTTGGATCGTTCCGCGCGTTCTCTAGTTCCACCAAAATATTATCCGACTCTGGCTTTATTTTGTTCAACCACCAGTCTGCATGCTCTGTAGTACAATGCTAAGCGAACGTCACCGAAACTCTGGGAAACATATACACCTGGCAGATAAGGGTGTGGAGGGCTGTTGATCCAGTGGAAGATGCGCTCGTCATTCAAAATGGCGACCAGAAAAGGCGCGTCACTGAGCCGCGGAGGAGTGAGGATGATGTTCTTGTGGGATCGCAGGCGGAGGAATGGCTCGCCTGTCTTGGGGTTTAGTTCAAGCGGATGAAGTTGAGTGTTGAGGCTATCCATAGCCCAGATACTCTGAGGCTGAGGAGATACTAGGCGAGCGATGACTCGGCGCACTGGCTTGAGATCGAGTTGATCACATTAGTTGATCACATTCACAATCAGAGCCAATACTACTACGCTTCCTTCCAAATACGGTAATCGCATCAGAATTATTTTTTTACCTCTTCTAACGCCAGAAAGAGTTTTCATAACAAAATATCCGAACGACTGCATAGATATATGGATATCGAGGGCGATGGGATTGCGCAAGTTCAATTGAACCTGCAGGATGAACATTTTGAAAAAAAGGAAGCTGGAAGGGAGTATGTCTACACCTCGGCTGCCCGCCCCGTGTCGTAGGGGCCAAAAGGAAGACGCGCAAGAGCCAAAATAATTGATTGGAGTGGGATTCGAACCCACGCCCCGGAGGACCAGATTACAGACGGGTCTGTAAATTTTGCTTCAAGTGAAGCTGATCCTTAGTCTGGCGCCTTGGATCGCTCGGCCATCCAACCCCGCTCTCTGCACTCCGACAGAACCTGCGCATGGCTTCAACGCATAATGAACCCAAGTCCAGCAATGAGGGTTTTTTTTTTTTTTTTTTTTTTTTTTTGGAGAGGAAGTGGTTGCAGCTGCTTCCTTTGCCAGTGCCATACTTTGTTTGGCGGCCGGTCTGCTCAAGAGTGCGTGGGTTGCTGGCCTCTCCATTTTGATCGTCTGAATTATTTTATATGCTTCAGACTGACTCATGGCTTGGAGCTTTGCTCCGGAGAGCACCAGGGAGGTGAGTGTATTGGTGTCGACAACGTTGGGGGCCGCTTTTCTGCTACCTTTGCCAGCTAGTATGTCCGCGGCCTCATTCCCTGCAGTCCCTGAATAACCCTTGACCCACATTAGTTCAGTTGGGGCATTTCATTCCCGGATTCTCGTGACTGTCAGCACGAAGATGTCCCTGTTGATGACTGTGTGGAAACCTTTGTCTTATCAATCCGCATGTGTTTTGTGAGGCCTAGACTTGTTACCAGTCTGCCTATGATGAGCAAAATATGTGGCAAGCACTTTGCCATAGGCAGACTGGTACAACTCGGGAAGGCCTGGGCGCAGAGTTTGAAATGTTTCCTTTTCCTTCATTCTGAGCTCAAATTAACTTAGTTTAAAAAATTGCAATGATAGAGCACAGTCTGAATACCATATTCCTAAATCTGTCTCTTCAGAATTTTCAAGAAGTCGTATGTGGTGAGGTCAAGAGCCTCAATTTAACTGAGAAATGATGGCAAGACACCACCACTGTAATGCCATGATCGGCACCACCCAAAAATTCAAACTCCGGCTCAGCCCTTTGGCGTGGCCTGAGTTGTACCAGTCTGCCTACGGCAAAGTGCTCGCCACATATTTTGCTCATCGTAGGCAGACTGGTAACAGTCTATGTGAGGCCCTCAATTGTGTATTTGGAGTCGCTTATTATCTTAAGTGGTGCATTCCGTGGTGCTGCTTCCACGGCTTCTTTTTTTTGATCCTTGTCAAGGCACCAGACTGCTGATAGGAAAAAGTATTTCATCTGAAAAATGTGAAATGTTCAACTAGTGCAGATGAGGAATTTTGTGACATTCCTGATAAGGTTGCTTGAGATGACTTATAGACTTGTGACCAGTCTGCCTGCGATGAGCAACACATGTGGCGAGCACATTGCTGCAGGCAGACTGGTACTTCTCAGGCTGTGCCAAAGGGCTGAGCATGGAGTTTGAATTTTTTGGCAGGAGCCGATCGCCGGCATCACTGTGGCAATGCATTCCATCAATTCTCATCAAATTGGACCATTCAGCATACACTGCCTGCAGTTGTGAGAAATTTTGAAGAGACAGAATTGGAGAGAGACAGCTATTTGCGGAACATAGGGCGGGCCGTTTTTTTGTTTTTGTTTTGTGAGATTTCACGAGATTGGCTCCTGTGAGCTCAATTCTCGACTGTTTCCCTTGAAAGTTAGCTCATTCGGACGGAGAATACGGATGCTTGACGTTGCCCGATTTTTACTAACCGCCTTAAAATCATTTCGTGGTCACATTGGGCTGTTTTTAGACCTCTGGGCACAGAACGAGCACCAGAAGACCATTTGTGATTTGATTACCCTAGATTCTTAATATGATGTACTTTAGTGTATTGCGGAGGGCTTCATGTACCGGTATTTCTGATGTGAGCTGTACTTCAAATCCACAGCTCACATTCTTAGTCATGGGAAATTGGTCCAGCTGCAACTCACCATATATTTTAAGTACAGGTGACATTGGAAATCACGGTATTTGTAGCCCTCTGGAATAGTTTCATGTACACCATAACAAAAATCTAGCTCAATCAGAGCACTACTAGCACTCTGGCACACGTTCTGCTCTCACATGTGCAAAAACACCCCAATCTGACCCACCAACTCATTTTGAGCCTGTTAGCAAAAATCGGGCAACGTCAAGGCATCCATATTCTCTGTCCAAATAGAATGAGCTAGCTCTCAAGGGAAACGGTGTAGAATTGAGCTCACAGGAGCTGATCTCATGAAAACTCCCAAAAAAAAAAACCCGTAGGCCGCGCCCTATGTTCCGCAAATAGCTGTAATATAAATAACACACCCCTTTGAAATTTATCAAAATAACTTGATCTAAGCTCGGAATAAGAAAATCGGAAAAACTTTCAAACTCTGTGCTCAGCCCTTGCACAGCATCTGAGAAGTACCAGCCTGCCTACGGCAACATGCTCGCCGCACTTGTTGCTCTTTGTAGGCAGGCTGGTCACGAGCCTAGATGACTTGGAGATGACCCAGGTCTGCCAAGTCAACTTGCTCAGGGTCAAGTCAGAAAAGGCATGTCACAGGGAGGAGTGAGGATTATGTTCTTGTGGAATCAATTGTAGGCAGAGGAGTGGCTTGCCCATCTTGAGGTTTACTTTAAACAGAGTTCAGTGTATCCATCATGGTTCAGGTATAGTAAGTATTACCTACCGAACAAACAACAGCCAATACCACTACACTTCTTTTCAAATATGGTTATCACATCAAAATAGATGTTCCTTACCAATTCCTTACCTCTTCTAACACTGCAAAGAGTTTGCACATCAAATCTGCACCACCATTTTGGGGAGGGTGATGAAATTGCAGAAGTTAATGCTTTGGGAAGTAAGTTGAGAGGGAGCGCAACGTTTCACCACCGGTGGGGGCCTCGACTAAAGGCGGCGCAGCGGCCGATCGGCTGTCGTACTGGGTGTCTTCGAGAAAGGGAGGACGGAGCGAAGCAAAACATTTGATCAGAGTGGGATTCGAACCCACGCCCCGGAGGACCAGATTACAGACGGGTCTGTAAATTTAGCTTCAAATGAAGCTGATCCTTAGTCTGGCGCCTTAGACCGCTCGGCCATCTGACCGTGTAGTATTCCCTCCTCGTCGATCTAACGTGCACTGAGGAACAACTAAGGTCACCTGGTCAGCCGGCGGATATCATGTATCGCTTTGCAGTGCCACCGGAGGTCAATCCGGCCTATTTTCGATTTTTTGAGGGCTGTTCGCTTGATTTCAATATTGCTCCCTTAGTTCTTGACAGATCGCTAAATAGAAAGACGTAGAAAAGGTGAACCTCACCATGACCATGGACTCTGAATATGGCTACTGGAGGGAAGTGTAGGAATGAAGAAAAACCCCAAAATCTATTAATCCAAATCAAGCTGAAGAATTATTAATATTTCTCAAGTTGGTCCTTGTCACGGCACCAGACCGCTATAGGGATCCGGCCCGTTTCCATCTGAGACGGGTCAACGGACTGTCGAAACGGTTTCTGTTCCGTCCCTCGAGGGTGTGAAAGTCGAAGTCGCACCAAACGTGAGTCGCAGGAAAGTGTATTCGGCAAGAGGTGTTCGATCTCCCGATCGTGGATATATTCCCACGGGGTACCTACCCCCAAATAAGGCAGGTCTGAGTCAGCGGCGCTTGGGCGGCCATCAGTCTGCCAAACACTTGTAACTAACCGCTCCGCACGACGCGTCCATCGCGTCCCATTCACACATTCAGCGTGTTCCGGCAATCTGCAGCAACCACGATGCCAGAGAGCTATGTGAATATTGTACTTTCCCACTGCCAAATAATCAAAACCTATCTTGGGAAAATGGTTCAACTACTTCTTGGCAAAACGCATCTACATCTTGGCAAAATGCGTCGACATCCACCATCCGCATAGTACCGGCCCATGGTATGCCACTTCTTCCACACTATTTATTGGGACTGAGACCGTTGTTGCCGAAGACTGTTCCGTGATCGATCAGTGGCGCTCACGTGCACACATCAACTTCCACGATCCAGAGATCGCTCACCCCTTGGTATTCGGGGCGCGGGGACACGAGCGCGGGGATACAGAAGACTACCGAAATAGACAGATACAGGCCGAATATAAAGGTGAAGCTGTACGACGGATAGGGGGGTAGGTAAGGTAACCAGGTAGCGCGGCGCGCGACGATCCTATTCCAACAGAGGGCATATCCGTTTTAAAAACGGGTAGAAACGAGTTTGTCAATACTCGCTCTCTCCTATCACCAGCGCTAGCCTTCATTCAGAGGATGCAAACGATCCAACCAAGTAGAGCTTCCATATGACTTGGTCACCCAACAGGTAGATGGACGGAAACGGGTCAATCGGACCCGTCCGCTTCCCAAATATTTTGTCCTAGAAACAGCCGTTGTTTCGACGGCCGTTCCGTTTTACGGAACCCTAGACCGCTAACTGGAATCGATTTTCCACAGATATTTCCACTGAAACACTTGAAATGTTTCACTAGTTCAACATGAATGGGTTTCATGAGGAATTTCGTGACACTCCTGATATAGATGACCTTTTGTCCCAAGTCAACTTACTCGGGATCAAATCATTCTTTGCCTTATTGAGCTCATCGAAATTGTGCCCGACGCCTTTAATGTTGCCATCAGTTTCTCACCATCCGTTTATAGATACATAAAAGCCATGCCGGGCTGCCCGACCAGTATCATAATTTTTTCAGCAAAATCACAGTCATGTTGAGCAGGATTCAGCACATCAGTATTTTTACGCTCGTGGCAATGGGTAGGGGTTCTTTAACAACCTTTTAAACACCTTTTGGTCCTTTTTCCGCAACTTGACCAAGTGTCCGACATAGTCATACAATTTCCCCCGAATGCAGGCCTCATGTAATTTCATGAGATCGGACCGAGTTCGGGGAAGGGCAAAGACCTGGCGATACAGATCTTTGAGAAGCGACGTTTCTGCCTCATTGAGGCAATTTACAAACCCGTAGTCCACGGTGACACTGGGAATCGGCTCCGCCACTTCTCCTTGAGCCATCACGAGCTGCTTTAAATAGCAAACAGAGTGAAAAACCCGAGGGGATTTTTGGAGGACTTCGTCGAGATGAGGGATCGCTTCCGCCTGAGCTCTAAGCCCTTTGGAATGGAACAGAGCGGTGAGCGCGGAAGTGTGGTATGCATGGTAGAGCTCTTCGAATGTGCACTTCCC